TGGTTAAAAAAATATGACCAATAAACTCCTCCAACAATTGAATGTAATTAATTGGGATTTGAAGTGACAAACTTTAGATTTCAGACTTTTTAAAATTAATTTTGTGAAATCTTAAGTTTGGAAGTAAGATTTGAAGTGAAATTTCGTATAAAGATTTTTCTTTTCAAATCCCACAAAATCTTAAAAAGTTTTAACAAATTCTAGGATCAAATAAATTAAATATTTGGAAGACTTTTTAAAATCTAAATTAAATACTTCAAGACTTTTGAAAGTAATAAAAATTTTTAACAAATCTAAATTGAATAAACTGAGATTTTTAAAGTCTTTAAAAAACCTAATTGAATACAACATGTGTTTGTATACAAATATATCCCCACAAATTGATTTTTTTTAGTTAATCAGAGTTATTTTTTTTTAAAAAAAAAGGTGGAATGATTAACTGTCAGTAGAATTTTGATTTTATATTAAAATAATATTTAAAATAAAATAATTATAATTGATTCGATATAAAAATAAGATATAAGTGATGTCAAGTGATAATTAGTTAAAATTATGTGAGTGAATGAATAGTAAATTAAAGATGATGTCATGTGTAAAAATAATTGAATATTATTTAACTAAGTTGATAATATTTTGAGGATAATAGAGTTGCGTTAAAATTAAGTTAAATTTTGAGTATGAATTGAGTATGGACTGAATATTTTTATATACAAACACACCCGAGATTTTAACCAATATTTGAAAAGACACGACTTTATTTGACTTGAGCAACAAAATTACACAAACCAGAGTATTAAATCACAGTTGTGGATAGCATGACATTAAACTAATGGTGCAAAGCTCATACAGATTGTACAATATTCAATTTCATCTCCTATGTAGCAATAATGATGCTAGATCAGATCCAATGTCACTAGCAAAAAAGTTCCCATAACAAGAAAATATGAAATAGTATACAAAAAGCTCGACAAAAGTCAAATTAGAGAAGAATATGCATCGAAAGGACCTAGTGTGCCAATTTCCTCAAGTGCTGTAACGTTTTCTGCTTGATCCATTGTCGATCGTACGGTAGGTAAGCTTGGATCGAATGATCATAGCTGCAAACACAAAATAGTTTGTTTAAAATATTAATAGACAGCTCAATGATGCGTATGTCAACACGAAAATACGACAAAATTTCAATAAATAGTTCATCTGCAAATCTCTTGTGTTCTATTTTGCAATACTATACTCTCTCACACACACACAAGATAGAGAGAGATTTTACACTAAAGCACTGAAGTCATGAAGCCCATCAATAAAATTGTAAAGATCCGATATATCGTATGTGATATTTCTTGATGCTGGATTTAGCTCCTTCAGTTTCCGTTCATAAAGCCCACAAATTCCTGTGAGAAAAAAGTTAGAATTACGTGGAGTGACCAAAACATTAAAGAAAAGAAAGAAAAAAAGTATCGTAGTCCAAAACCGAAATCAGATTTCCTTTTTTTGTCTTTGGGTTCAAATAATGTGTTTTCCATTCTCAAAACCGAAATCTATTAGTACTCTTCACAATTTATCTTTTTATGATAATGAATTAATGATATTAACTATGCATACCATCCATTGCTTGGCTGATAGAATCGTAGTCCATGAAAGTACGACTCGCCCTGTTGTGAGACGCTTGCATGAGAATAATCGTGTGCCTGTTAGACTGTTTACAAAAAGACGTATAACCAAATAAGATACGAAAAAATAACACTTTTGAGGCTCAGAAAATCTTTCCAGTTCACAGAACTATATTTTGAAATGAAAAAGAAAAAAAAAAAAAAAAAAAAAAAAAAAAAAAAAAAAAAAAAAAAAAAAAAAAAAAAAAAAAAAAAAAAAAAAAAAAAAAACGCAATACAAAAATGGTCGATAATTCATGGCTAAAACTTCGAGCAATGTAGACAAAACAAGAACAAGACTATCGATTCATCAATTTCGGTGAGGAGAAAAGATATCAAGTAGTAACATTTAAAACATTCACTTCACACACAAATAGAACATATTGGAAATTTATACACCAACCATTCTGATCCCTTTAATCAAGTTTCGATTTTTATTTCGAAAACATAACGACCTTCTGATTCTCAACTACATTTTCTCCTCCACAATAATAAATTGATTTCGCCAAAACTAACATTGGCAAACGAACCCTAAACCAGATTCTTGCTCAAAGACACTTCCACACCATATATGTGACAAAAAACAGTCTAAAAACAGTAATAATAGCACAAAGGAACAAAATTTAATTGGATTAACCTATGAATTCGCATCAAGGGCTGTTTAATTTACAGAAACCCAAATGAAATATGGCTCCATAAATCAAGAAAATCGAAGCCCAAATCCAAAAGAAGAGTATGACTGAAAAAGCCCTAAACGAAAGTAGCTACAAAAATCATCAAAACGTTATTGGCAAGTGAAAGTACAACACAGACAGTAGAAAAGGAGATGAAATCGTTACCATTGTGAAGGAACAAGAACTGCTCGAAAAGTGAGGAGCTCCTCAAGATCTTGCGTGTGTTACAGTGTGTGTTTTGGCAAAAAAAAGTCTAATTTTGGTCCTGGATAATTTTGATAATTTCGAGTGGCCGGATTACGTGTGATAACGTGAAATTTGTAATCGTTTCGTGTCAAATTCCTATCCATCTACGTCGTTTTAATCTTTGTCCACGTCATCAAGTAATTCAGCCATCGAGATTACTATACTAAAATTGACGAAATTGTACTGGACTTTTTGTTATGAGGGGAAAATTGATTACCTAAACTGAACAATGACCGATTTAGATGACCAAAATTAAATTTTTGCCTGTCATTTTTTTTTTTTAATTTTAAAAATATTTTCGTAGTTGAACTCGTATTGGAAGTAGTCAATTAGCTAATTTAGATTGGTTTTACTATCAATTTGACACTCTTTAGGAAACTTTAAATCAAATTTAGTATTTCTATATATACTCTTGTTTATAAATAAGTCACCGTTTAGATTGAAGGTTTCTTATTTCAAATTATTCCATGATTTGAAATAATTATTCCCATATGAAAAAAATTAAAATAAAATAAAATAATTACAGCTTAGTAAGATTGAATATACTTTAATTTGAGTTATTTTTCAAAGAAAAGTAGTAAGAAAATTAGTAATTATTTTAATATAAAAAATGTTATAGAAATAATAATAATAATAATTAATTGTGATGTAATAAATAAATTATAAAACAATGATTAATAATTCTAAAAATATGAGGGCATGAATAATACATTTATAGATAGAAGTGTAGCAATGATAGAATTTTAATTTAAAAATTGTATTTAAAAAATATGAGTAAAACGAACAAAATAAATTAGATGAGATATTTTTTTACTCGGATTGATCCAATCTTCCAATGGCTTCTTTCAGTTGGTGGATGAAATAAAAAAAAAAAAAAAAAAAAAAAAAAAAAAAAAAGTGAAAATGTATCCAATTGTATCATAATGAAAAATAATTACATATATAAAAAGAAATAATATAATTATTAGAAAATTAATACATGATTACACATTTAGCAATATATGATAGATATTAATATTAGGCAAGATATGAATTAAAATTTTTTTCTTTCTAAAAGGACATTTATAATAAACAGTACTAGTACAACACTGAACTCACTCAACACTGTTTCAATATCAACTAGGATACAACAACATTGTGCAGACAAACAGGGTTTTGTCTTAATAAAAGCAGTATGTATTAAAGATGTATCCCTGCATTTTATTTCAACAAGCTCACGATTTTGGGCGAAACGTATCTGAAAATTTCATGCCGCAAGAAGCTTCTTGATATCCTTCTGCAATAAACGAGCACCAAAGGATTCAAAGTTTTAAATACATAAAAAGTTTCAAGATCACAGACGAGGATTAATTTATGAGACAAAGAATGAAGAGGAGATAAATTGTTGAAGTTGGTATGAACCTTTCTTTTTACAAGAACAAAACTTCCACACGAATAACAAAACACGGTTTATATGTTTGAAGAAAAAAAGTGTTGTGGTTCACAGCGAATAACCAAAGCAATATGCCTCCCTAGCCTTGGGAAAAAAATGTATAATGCAAACAACGAATTCCAATTAAAAGGTGTGTATCTAAAGACTAAGACTATGTTTGGTAACCAAATAAGTTAGCTTATAACTTATTTGGTTAGCTTATAAACTTCCTATATTCGAATAAGTTCCGTTTGGTAGGACGAACTTTTTTAAATGAGTTTATTTCATAATAAGCTTTCTTAAGATAACTTTTCAAACTAGCACGTTGAATATTTTATTCAGCTAGCTAGACTATGTTTGGTAAAACTAACTGATAAGCTAGCTGATAGCTTATAAGTGATTTTCGAGCTAATAGCTTACAACTTATGACTTATAGCTGAAAAGCTAGCTAATATGATAAAAGTGTTTGGTAAAATTAGCTGATAAGCTAGCTGAAATACAATTTCAACGAGCTTATTTGAAAAGCTACCCAAAAGCTACCCAATGAAACTTATGATATAAACTAAAAAAAAAAAGAGCAAGCTCGTCTTACCAAACGAAGCTTACTTGAAGGAAGCTTATAAGCTAACCAAATAAGTTATAAGCTAGCTTATTTGTCTACCGAACATATCCCTAGTTTATCAGCTAATTTCACCAAACACTTTTATCAAATAAGTTAGCTTTTCGGCTCTAAGTAATAAGCTATAAGCTCAAAAATCACTTATAAACTATATATAGCTTCTAGTTTTACCAAAAATAACCTAAAATATCGTGCGGAAAGAAAGTGGAAAAGTCTACCTCGATTTGAAACGGGGAAGTTGTTGGTGGATATCTTTCGACAACTTTACCGTTTATATCCACCAAGAATTTCTCGAAATTCCACTTAATCAAATCGCCTAGGAACCCACCAGCACTAGACTTTAGAAATTGATAAACGGGTGCTGTACTTGGTCCATTAACGTCAACCTGTGTACAGATTCAAACCTCAGTACATATGATTTCATCTAGACGTTGAACGAGTAGATTAAAACAGTAAATAGTAAATACCTTATCAAAAATTGGGAATTCGGCTTTAAACCGCGTACAAGCAAACTGCTTGATGTCTCGATTTGATCCTGGCTCTTGAGCCCCAAACTGATTACATGGGAAAGCCAAAATCTCAAATCCTGCATTGTCAAAAAAAAAAAAGGAAAAAAGAAAAAATTTGACGAGATTCGTTTTACATGAAAATATGAGGAAACTCTGAATATATATAACGAGATGCACGACTATTCACCTTGAGTTTTGTACTTTTCGTAGAGATGAGAAAGCTCCGTATAATTAGATGACGTTAAACCACTATAATCAAGAATTAATTGTCTAAATCAGCAACAATTGAAGTTTAAGAAGCTTGCAACAACAATGGTAAGGTTCACAAGCGCTTGTTAACAAGGTAAAAACTAAAAACACATATTTAATTATTTACCATCTTGAGGCAACATTTACAATCAAAAGAACCTTCCCTTTGAATTTGCTGAGCGAAACATCCTTCCCATCGATATCCTGTTTCGACAATAGCAGTTAATACGAGCCAATTAATGGTAATAAAATGTCACTCAATAGCTCTACAGAAACAAAAAATGAAAAGATGGAACACGAAATAACATTGGATGTTTGCACACACTTAGAAAAGTGATCAATATCACTCTGACCAAAATAGTAGCTCGTTTCTTGAAGTTGCTTATTTTCAATTTCGATTGCCAGTTCTGACTCCGCATAAAGCATAATTTCTATGTATCTTAAAAACAAGACGAGTGATTGTTTTTGGCTAAGAATTTTTCTCATGTTCTTGACACTGCTTCAACTTCTTCAAAACTTTAGGGGAGATTCTACGGTCCGTTAGTTTTTATTTCTTCTTCTTCTTCTTCTTTTTTTTTCCTACCCACACATTCACCAATCTAACTGCAGAATAAATCCAACAACAAAGGAAAAGCACAAACTCAACTGGACAGATAGAACCTTATACCAGAAAGAACTAAACTAATCATTTTAAGTCCAATAATTCAATCGAAAATCAAGCAAATCCCGTTTAAACAACATAACTAACCAATATTACTGTCTATTCTGCACGAGAAGCCCTTTTGAATTAGATATAACGTATGTGCGAGTGAGAGTGAGGGAAAAAAAGGAGGGTTTGGACAATAAACCTTAACAGTAAAATCGTGAATGGTCTTCTCAGCAGCAGCCCTGGCGTAAACAGAAGCGAAATTTCGAGACTTTAAGCGAAACCCAGAAACAATTGGGGATAAAATCGAAAGCCCATCTCGAGAAAACGTTGATTTCGAAGAGCCGATGCTCGATCGATTGGACACATTAAGAAACGCCAGACAACTGGATTTGCAGTTCAGTTGCAGGTTGGAGAATGCTAAACTGTGCAGAGGCGCGGAGTAAAGCGAAGAGAAAGCCATGGAAGCCATCGTCGACGATCTCTGAGGGTTGTGAGAAGAGAAAATGCAGCTTACTGAGTGTGCGAAAATTTCACACAGTTTTCGTGGGACTGCAAATAGTTTGAAGATGAAAAATGGGGCAACCGAATTCGTGTTCGTTGACTAATATTACTTAGAGATGCTATCGTCGGTCAATAAATATTCCGTCCAGATTTGTAAAGTATATTATCATCACATAACTGTCGGGAATGATTAATCTAACAGTAACAAATCTCGACAGAATAATTCCGTACAATAATCGTTAGAGTACAATAATCGTTAGAGATAATTAATTAATCTAACGATTACAAATCTCGATAGAATGATTCCATAAGGTAGCGTTAGCATCTCCCATTATTACTAGTCACAAATTTGACAGCATACTTTAAATAAAATTAATTTCCACATACACAACACAAAATGGTACAACATATTACCACATTTTATTTTTTTAGACGACCTCACCAAAAAGTGAAACCTTCAAAATAAAAAATAAAAAATTAATAAATAATAATAATAATAATATTAATAATAATAATAATAATAATAAAAGGGAAGATAATTAACCCAACACCAAAACAAAAAAAGAACTAAAAAGAAGACCTCAAACTATCCATCATCTACCCACACTATCCAAACTTGTCATTTCATCATTAACTCTTTCCACATATGTAGTGAACCCTTGGCCATGAACCGAGCAAGCACAATTAGAAACCCCTATATCCTCTGCAAGACAGCTCGGCTTGACTCGATTATTCGATTCGTACCAAACACATCTCTCTCGAACAAGACAGTCCACAAAATCGTCCAACATCTCGAAACTGACATGTGGCATCACGACAACATGCGCCATGTCACCTTGAGTCGAAAGTTGCCACTTTCTAACGAACTCGAAGCTCAGGGGCCTCTCGAAAACAACCACAAAACCGGGCTCGTTGAGCATGCAACTAATCCCTTCCCTTTTGAGCCGATCTCTCAAATACCGAGCTTTCGTCAAACACTTGTTAACTTCTCCTTGAATACCAGAACGACCTTTTGTGTTTAAGGTGTACCAAATGAAGACCGGTGTGTGGCCATTTCGACTTCCGGATATCGTGTTATCGATGGTTTCGATGTATTCAATGTTTTTAGAGATTGCTTTGATGTACCTCTTTCTAGTCATGTGGACACCGCATGCCATTGGGGAGCCCAATAGTTTGTGGGCCGACACACTAACACTTCCGATGGGCTTCTTGAAACTAAACATTGGTCCCTATTCAGAAAAGATCGATAATCCACCAAATACGAATTACTTAGTTAGTTAGTGCTATAATGGTAGTTCATCTTGAAGTAGTCTAAACCAAATATATATAAATGAAAATCTTAATGAGCTACTTATTAAGTAACCTTATCAAGTTGTTTTAATTCAACTAATTAATTACCTGTAGAAGAAAAGGAGATACGAGTCCATACAATGCAGCATCACAATGTATATAAAATCTATCTTCCGAAAATCCGCATTGCTCCAACGTTTTTATCACAAGGTCGAGGTTATCGACACCTCCTTTAAAAGTAGTCCCTACAAATTTAGAAAACAACACAAATTATATTATTAAATTTCAATTGAATATAATTCATCTATGTCTGAATCATGTGTAGCACACCTATATTAACATTGACGATGGCCGGCTTATCCTTGTTGAGATTAAGTTGTTCCCTTAGCTCATTGCAGTCGATTTCGCCAGTAGTTAACGAGCTAATTATCTTACAATCCATTCGACAGATTCTTGCTATTTTGAATATGGAGTAGTGTGATTCTCTTGATGTATACAAAATCCCATCGGTTAGTAACTCTCTCCTGAAAGATAATAAACAGAGCTAGCATAAAAAATACTTATAAATTTAATCTTGATTAAAATTTGAAGGAAAAATGACAATCTAAGCACAATATATATATATATAAGTCCTAATCACTAGCTACTAACCCAAGCAATAGGCCATGGAAATTTCCTTCCGTGCCACCATTAGTCACATAACCCCAAGACTCGTTTTTTTCGATTTCCCAAAGTTGTCCGAACCAATCTAAAACCGACACCTCAAATTCTTTCGAATGCATGCCTAAGTTGCTCTCTTTGAACGGGTCACCAACGTTATTTATGTGGAATTTTAGCAGTGGAGATAAAGCCGTTAAGTGGTCGCAACGAACATTCACGTGATAACCTGAAAGAAAACGCAGAATTAACCAACTGTAAAAATAAAAAATAAAAATGAGAAAGAGGAGAAGAGTAAATATATTAAGCAAAATCTTATTAATATGCATATACCTAAAAAATGAGAAGCTCTTTCAGTGAGATGATCATGAAACTCAGTGAGTAATTTGGCCAAGAAAACTTGTCTTTCGGCAGAAAATTCCTCGTACGGTTCGACTATAGCAAAAATGTTCGTCTTCTTGCTACGATCATTATTATCGCCATTTTGCTCGTTAATGGCGTCACAATTTGATGAAATCTTGGCCATTGTTTCACTATTGTTCTCTCGCTCTTTTTTTTTATTATTATTTTTTTTTATGTGTGTGTTAGTCACTGCAAGTATATATGTACAATGATTCTGCATTATATAGAAAACCAAGGATTGCAAAAATTAGTGTGCAAAGGTATGAGAAGCATACTAAACAGTAAACACGAGCACAACGTGTTTTAAATTTTTAAGAATAGAAAAGTATGTTTACATTTTATTTTATATATAAGATTATATATGTTTATATATTATGTAGGGTTAATTGCTAAATATACCTTAACCTTTTTGTGTTTGATAATTTTATCCCAATCTTTGGGTAATTGCAATATAATCTAGACCTCAATTTACTTATTGCAAATTTGGGTGCAGTGATTGATTTTAAGAATTTGTGGATAGATTTTGTGTCCAAGTCTTCTATTGGCACGGGTTTTTATGTCATCCACGTAATAAGTTGACAATTTCCATGTATTTAATGTATATCTACGTACAAAGGCGAAAATTCCATGTCAATGTAAGCTACCGGTGATGAGTCTCCTCTTAGATCTGGAGTGAACCGGTAAATATGAGCTCCGATTTGTTCGAACCGCCTTCAAATCGACCATTTTTTGAAGGTCAAACCAGTTTTAAGTTCGACTTGCAATAAGTAAATTGAGGTCGAAATTATATTGCAATTACCCAAAGTTTGGGATAAAATTGTCAAACGCAAAAAGGTTAAGGTTTATTTAGCAAATTAACCATATTATGTAAGTAACATAAAAAATTTCCCAACTCGTAATATTGCATACAGTGACGGAGCTAGGATATTAACTCAGGGGTCCCGAGTTTAAGTGTTAAATTAAATAACGAGTTTGTAATTTACGTACAAACGCTCATTTCAGATAAAGTTGTGTTTACTTATAATTATAGATATTAATATGTGTACTTTAAAGTTTTTATAAGAACTTAGAATCTGTATCAACCTCAAACTTTTTTTTAAGAAAAAAATGAGATTTCGTGTATTTATAATTTAAGTTTAAGATCCTAATTTATGAAAAATAATTTTTTTGTTCAAAATTTGATTTAAATTGAACACATTGCATATCATTTTTGTTGATTAGAGCTTATCAAATGACTATTTTTTTAATAAAAACTAAATAAAATGAAAAATATGTGATTACATAAAAAAAATAATAAAGTAAATAATCAAAATTCAAATATACAATCGATTAACATTAAAACATCTAAAAATCCAACTAAATTGTAGGTTATATAAATCATTAAATTAAAATTACAATTAAAAGGCCGAAAGAGTAAATTATTATAAATATTTTCAAAATTTTGTCCGGAAATGTAAAATATAATGATTGTTAGTATACTTTTCAATAAATAAATAATTTTATTTTAAATTAAAATAGCATTGATAATAAGTTTTAATTTTTTATATATTCTACATATTTTTTACATTTTTATTCATTTTTTATAGTATATATATATATATATATATATATATATATTTAAAAAAGAAATTGAGGGAGCCCACGGTCCCCTGGACCTAATACAGGTCCGTCCCTGATTACATATATATCAACTCTTTTATGGATGAAAATAAAAAACCATCAGCTATAAATTTCATTACTCTAATTTTTACTTCTTGTTTTAGGGAAAAATAATTATCTCTTATTTAAGAAAATGCGAGAATAACTATAGTCACTTTTAACTTCATCTGGAATAGCGTCTGCGGGGGGTTTGATTCGTGATGCAGTCGGGAGATGGCTTGGGGAGTTCGTAATGAATATCGGTTATTGTTCCATCACAGAAGCAGAGTTGTGGGGCCTCTTCCAAGGTCTGCTCTACTTGCATGGGATTTGGGCTATCGAAAGATTCTCGTTCATGAAGTAGACAATCAAAGTGTGGTATCAATGGCGAATGGGGGGCTTAGCGGAGAACCTTGGAATTCATGAAAGCTTGGTCCGGGCCATCCGAAAGTTGTTTAACCGGGAATGGGAAGCCAGTTAGAGTGATTCATTGCTATAGATAGACGAACTTTGCGGCCGATTATTTGACGTTTTTAGCGTATAAATGAGCGAGTGGTTGTCAACATTTTAAGATGCCCATCATTCACATCCAAAGTCCAAACTAGAGAATTATTGGTTATGACAAAGTTACTAGATTTACTATAACTATTGGTTCCTAGAAAAAAAATAAAAAAAAATAAATGTCTATTATGAATTTATGATTCATAGTACCACGAGGAAAAGGCGAGCCAATTAAATTAAATGGTCAAAAGAGTCTTTACGTGTGTCAACTTTAGGCACACGAAAAATATTGCACATGTGATGTTCAACTACTACATATATTACAATTATTTTGTCATATTCTATATTTATTCAATTTTTTCATCACATTAATTTCGTGTATAGTGATTGGCAAAATATCTTACTTATGTGGTGGTGCTTCCCACGTTGAATTCTAGCCGTAGGATTACAAACAATATGATCAAACACACCCACGTGATTGTTTATGGATCTGACAGCAGCAGCAGCTATATACACCACAGTACAGTGGGCATTGCATGCCCAGGTGAAACCATCCAATTTGAAGCATAATTTGGACATAAATAGAACAAAATAAAAGGTTTGTTAAATTAAGAATATCACATTTTTACTATGGTTGAGTTCAACTAATTCTTAATATCAAGTTGGATTATTATTTATTTAAAAAATGATTCATTTAATATATATCAATATCATTACTCTAGAACATCAATACAAAATTTAAAAAGAAAAATTAAATGACACAATTCAATATGTGATCGGTCGAAAAATGTGTGTATTTTATAAATTTAATAGTGTTGTTTTATACGCTTAATTTACTCGCACGTTTATATTTTTCGACTTATTTATTATTTGGATGAATCCATTTACTTTTATTATTTTATATTTATTTTTAGCTTATTGGAGTATTTTGTGGACACGAAGCAATGTATGATCAATTATCGAGCGTCGCTAAAGTTTAAGCCCAATTGTTAATTCATTAACCCAAAAGTGACATTAAAGACTTATCAATTGGGCAGCCCACTTACGCCACCTTCAATCTGAATTTGAGAGGATTTGAACTGAGGAATAGGGTATGCTATTTTGTGGGAGAGACGTACAAGAAAAACTTGGAATCATTTTTCAAGGGAGGGAAATATATATACGCAGAAACAGAAAGAACAAAGAATAGAAGAAAAGGCGCCACGCAGAGAGGCATACGCGGGGGAGCACAGGACATATACGTGAGAAGCCCGACCAATCGCAGAGGGATGCCGCACCTGCATACGAGAAGGATAATCATATTCTACTCTGTTTCTTTTTATTCATTATGCTAGAGTAGTTTTTATTTCTAGTTTCGAGAATGTCGAACCCTACGTATTTAACTATGTTTAATTGACTACGAGAATTGATTATTTTGTTATTTTTATGAAATTGTTGAGTGTTATTTCGATTGAGCAACCATGATATGTTTGATTTTATTTAGATTGACCACGTATATAAGATTTTTCGTCTAATGCTAAAATTGAACTTCCAATCTGTAATTGTTGTTGGGTTTTATTCATAAGAGCAACCGGAAGATGGTAACTACCGGGGATAACACAGCTGAATTAAGTGAACCACGCGGTTGAATTCATTACTTAGTCTAGCCTATTTATCTATATCTTAAAGCAGCTAATTGTATTAAATCTAGAGCACGTCTCCTAGATTGTGCAATAAGTCAGGTTTAATCGTACAGCGTCTCGCGGTTAATTAAAAAATAAGGAAAAATTCGAGTAGCAGAGCGTGTTGTTACCTAGGGCTAGTAGTTCCATAAGATAACGAGATTTTGATATCAAAATTGATTAGATGAGTCGGTTGAGGGTGTAGACGAAACTATGAACTAGAAAATTCTCTTATTTTATTTAATTTTATTTTATTTTTATTTTATTTGTTTAGATTTTATTTGCTTCATTAGGATTTTAGCTAGTTTAGTTATTAAATCAAAACCCCTATCTTTTTATTGTTTTTATTATTTCAATTAATACGATAAAATTCACAATTTGATTCACACTCCTCATGAGATCGACCTTTTACTCACCGTTACTACTAATTAGTAGAAGTTAGTCGAAAAAAAATATAAATTCTAATTTGACGTGTTGCGTCGTGCGGTCAATATGATTTATTTGAGATGCACCTAAATAATCAATTCTAGTTATAAACATTGAAGACTAAAGTCTGTTGAAATCCACAGACAATGTATTTATTTTTATTTTTTTCTCTGAAGTTAATTAATTCTCTTAGCCCATGTTTGCTTTTTAGGATGGGATTGGACTAATATAGTCCAAATGTGAAGGATTGTACTGTTTGGATAAAATTAATCCTATGATTGTTATATATGATAAAAAGTAGGATAAATTTAGCTTAAAAAAAATGTCTAGGTCACAACAAATCAAACGAAATGGTGTGAAATACTGTTTTACCACTCTGAAATAAATCAACCACAAAAACACATGAGAGTAAATTGGACTTTAAGCTTGCCAGGATTTGTCTAATCCCCCTAAAAGCTTGGATTTACTTATCTCGATTTCATGGGATAAAAGTCATTTTCATCCAGGCCGCGCACTCCATTCAGGGCTAGAATCCTAAGAACCATACATAGGATAAGGGCAGGATAAGCCAGGATATCGTGGCTAATCCCTCCAAGCAAACATGGGCTTATCCTTCTAATCCCACGGAGCAATCATCATTGTTTAATTATAATCTAATCCTATTTAGATTATGTGGTTGATATCATTTCTGGATTTTGGGTGTAATTAAAGTATTTAAATTTTTAAATGAAACCTGGAAGAGTATTTGAGAGCTGGTGATCACAATTCAATTTTCGGGTTTAAGTGAAAAGTCGCATATGGATCTTTTCAAAAAATCTTATTATCCTATCGATGTTGTTGGCCCACTCACTTGCGGCCCTTCTCAGAAAATCTTATTATCCTATCGATGTTGTTGGCCCACTCACTTGCGGCCCTAATTGGACGGATCACAATTATTTTATGTGAGTCTAACTGTTAGGCGAGTAAATACTTCATACTTTTTCAACAATAAAATAATGAATGCTTGTGTTCAAATGAAGATTAACATTGAACAATATGAACACATGAAGATGCACGCTAATTAAAACATCCATGGTATCTTCAATCTTGAGCGCATTTTGAACTTATATTTAATCACTACATTTTATTTTAGGCATAACACAAAATATGGTATAATTAAAATCCCTTAATTAGCTAGCCATGTATTAAGCAAGCACAGTTACTAGTCCCTATATCATTTGCAAGGCAAGGAGGCTCGATTTTGCCGATTTCGCGCAAAATTGTTCTTTCCCGAACAAGATCCTCCACGAAATCGTCTAACATTTTGGTCGTAATATGGGGCATCACAACAACATGCGCCAAGTTCCCTTCGCACGCAATTTGCCAATGTTCGATTATTTCACGATTCAACGGACGCTCGAAAACGACGATAATACTCATATCGTTTAGCATGTTACTGATCCCTGCGTTTTTCAACAGATCTCTAAAGTATTGGGCTTTCGTTAAGCAATTCTTAACTTCGCGTTCAATCCCTAATTGGCCCTTCATGCTTATGGTGTACCACATAAAGATTGGTGCATGTCCGTTTCTGCTTCCTGATATCGTGTTATCCAGAGTGGAAATACACTCGATACTTGCTGTGACGGCTTTCGTGTACTTTTTCCTAGCGATTAGAACGCCACAAGGCATTGGGGAACCTAATAGCTTGTGGGCCGATACACTTACGCTTCCAATAGGTTTGTTGAAGCTAAACATCGGATCCTAATTAACAAGTCATAACAAAACTATCATTAACCTTCTAGCTTAAAACAAAATGGAGATGCATCTACATTGGTTGTTCATTCAATCAAGTCGTAACAAAACTATAATTAACTTCTAGGTTAAAAGAAAGTGAAGATATATATGCATCTACATATTGGTTATTACTTACTAGTTCATTCTTGAAAATTAATAACTCATCATGTAATTACCTTCTCAGCGAAAGGGGAAATGAGGCCGTATAATGCTGCATCGCAATGTATATAAAATCGATCTTTCGAGAACCCACATTCTTCTAACGTTTCCAAGACAAGATCAAGGTTGTCGATACCTCCTTTGAAAGTCGTTCCTATAATAAACAAGACATAAAAAAATAATAAGTCGACAAATTCAATATACATAGAGCTCCATCACACTAGTTATATATATATATAGATCGAGCCAACCGCTTATTTAGCCCCGAAGTACTAATATGTAAACTCTTTTTGGCCCGTTTGGACATGTCTATAGTTATAAATGACAATGTCATGTTATTTTTTTCTTTCAGAAAATATTCCAAACAAGTGTCATGTTCATTTTTTCTTTCAAATAACTAAAACAAAATTGTTTAACATGGCTTGTACCAAACAACAATTGACACTACCGTTCCAAGCAGGCTATAAAAGATTTATTTTGTATTTCGATCGATCGTAAAAGATGTTACTGTCAATTTTGGGCCAAAAATTTGATATTTTCGCTACATAGACAAAACGAAAATACGGAAAGGTACGTAAAAATGGAGTGTCGATGAAGGAATAATAATAATAATAATAATAATAATAATAATTACCTATAGTAAGATTGATGATGGCAGGTTTATCCTTGTTGATAATAAGGTTATTTCTGAGGTCATTACAGTCAATTTCTCCTGTAGTCAATGTGCCAATTGTTTTGCAGTCCATTCTGCAAATCCTTGCTATTTTGGACACAGAGTAATGTGATTCTCTTGATGTATACAAAATCCCATCTGGTAATAATTCTCTCCTGTAATAACTATACATCATTAGTCATTAATCTTATTATATCATCCTAATAATTAAGCTTTAATTAGGAAAGGTGTCAGTCACACTTTAATTACTCTATTTAAATATCTATCCTAAGTAGTAGTACTAACCCAAGCAAGAGGCCCTGGAAATTGCCTTCCGTACCGCCGTTGGTCACATAACCTCAATATTCCTCGTTTTCTATTTCCCAAAGTTGTCGGAACCAGTCCAAAACCGCCACCTCAAACTCCTTTGAGTGCAATCCGTACGTGCCGTACGTGAATGGATCTCCAATGTTATTGATGTGGAATCTTAGTAATGGATATAATAAATCCATCAAATGACCGCACTCAAGATTCGCCGGATATCCTGCATACCAAACATGAGATTCAAAAGTCATCATACAATAATCAACACAAATAAAAATCACAATATTATCCTTTACCTAGAAGATGATTAGCTCTTTCATTGAGATGCTCTTCGAACTCGGTCAATATTTTGGTCAAACGTCGACCCTTTTGCTCGTTAGCAAAAACCTCCTCAGATTCCACTAAATTAGATGCATTATTTGTTATCGTGTTTTCTGAATGATGTTCCTTCTCGAGTTCGTCACCATTTAGTGTAAACTTGGCCATGGCTGCAAGAGTTCATGTCGGCCATGGACATAAAATTTGCAGCTATTTATAGGACCAAAAAAGTAAAAAAGTAAAAAAAAATAAAAAAAAAAAAATGAGGTTTTGGTGTAACTATACATCATAGGTTTGGAAAATATGAATCTAATGAAATAAATGGACTTATGGGGTGTGTATAGGTTTGAAAAGTAAGAATCCAATATGCATGAAATGCGCATGCCAAATTGTGTATAGTAATATGTTGCTCGTTTATTACATGGTGCTAATTAGTAAAAATATCCCGTTAAAAAAATCGGTCTTAACATCTATTTGTCATATCTCATAATCCATATGAGCAATTACAACCAAAAGAATCTTGATGGATTTGAGCGGCTAATTCGATGCTACAGGTGGGGCAGTGCAGTCATGCCCCCACCACCCTTGATTTCACACACACCCATGTGGGGGTGTGTGTGTGTGTGCGTGTAAATCAAAGGGTGTGAGGGCATGACTGCACATGCCCCCACATGTAGCATCGAAAATTTCAGATTTGAGCATAGCTGTCGACGATAAGGTTTCTTCATAAGCGATCCCTTCTTTTTGAGTATACCCTTTCGCAACAAGCTTAGCCTTGAAAGTCTCGACCTTCCCATCTGTTCTTCTCTTTTCCTTATAGACCCACTTGCATCCAATGACACGAACATCACTGGTTGGCTTTACAAGATCCCAGACATGATTAGAATCCATAGTCTCCATCTCAGATTTCATCGCTCTTTGCCACACTTACTTTTTAAAAAAAAAATATTATTATAAGTTCCAAATACGGTTTAAAAATTTTGTATTATTTTTTATACTTAAAATTCTTTTATACTTATCTTTTATACTTAAAATTATACATAATCATTTTTTTTTTTCAAATTGTTTTACTAATTATCATGGTACAGTGATTATATTTTTCCATTTGATTAGCAAGCATATCAATTGTAAAAACCGAGTCGCTTTTTTTAAAGCTTTTTCCGAACGCTCCAACAGAAATCTTTAGCATGTTCCTCTTCAGTTACTAGAAGCATTCACTAAAGACTCCATATAAAAATATAAAAACATTTGTCTAACACATAAAATTAATTAATCAGATGTTATGTGGGCACCCCATTCAATAAATTTTGGCTTAATTTGATGAAATAATTTGCAGTTCACTCAACCCAATTACTAAACTATTAAATAAACGGAGTCGTTCGTGTGTACTAGACTCGACTCGCTTGATAAATGTTGAGCTTTTTTGGCTTTGATTAAATAGGAATTTTTAAGTAGTTTTCGAACTATTAAGGCTCATTAACGAGCCAAAGTCGAACTCAAGCTCAAGTATGAAGAGTTTGAGCTCTGCTCATTTACATCTTATCGTTTATACAAATTATTTTTACATATGTTTCAGTGTATTTGATTTTAATAATTCCTTTTAAATCATTCCCAAATACTCACTGCTTTTCGGACCCGATAACAAATGACTCGATCAAACCTGAAGACCTGGCCTTCAACTAGTCGAACCGGGTACTGATGATCCAACCATTTTATTTTTTTTAAAAAAATATAAATATTAATATATATTTATGTGGTAAATGTTTATGACAAGATACAATAATATTAAGATTTTGAGGTATAAAATTCACATTAAAATTATTTGTTCTTTTTTTCGTATAGTTATATAATAAAAATAATATAAATATAATTTAATATGTTTTACAATAAAATATCGGTTCAGTTTTGACCCAGTGACACAGAGGCTATCCCATGTTATCTACCAAGTTTTAAAACACATCATATCATATGTAGTAAATATTAAGAACCAAAAAAAACTCCAAAACACATTAAGAATATCAAAAGAGTTTTCTGAAATTAACTATTTGTTATATAATTAGTCATAAAATTTTCATTAAATGATAGAATTAAATTATAAATCGATTCATCAAACATACAAA